GGCTTTGTGTGACAAGATACTTTCCCATGGAGTTCTATAGAGTCCTGTAAGTTGAGTCCATGTGAATCCAACTGGCACGAGGTTGTGAGTATTCTTGAGGGCATGGGAAGTTAATTCTGTTGCTGATGCTGGGGAATGCAGCCCTGTAGCCTTCTGGCATGCCCCTTTAATGCTCCACAATTCCCATGATGCCCCAGAAAGCCTCTACTAGGAGTTAACCTGCCTTTCCTTCCTTTATATAGTCTAGGAGCTAAGACATTGCTGTGAGAGCAGCAAGCAAGAAAGTAAGGGTAAGGCAGGGAACACAGGTGACAGTACACATCACAGCAAAGCCTGGGAACCCAGAAATGCTTCTGGAAACAGCAGTCTTTGGGGACACCACCTTCTCCAACATGGTTTTTGTTGATTTTTGCATTAGGACCCCACTTAGGGCATGACACATGCTGGGGAAGCGCTCCACCATGGGGCTGCATTTCTAGCTTCCGTAGGTCTTCACATACTGCCTGGGCCGGGTACAGCAAGAGGTTGGTTGTAGGTTAGCCATTTCACCGCTCGGTAGCCCTGTAGAGCCTGGGCCCGGATAGCCTTAAACTTGTTTTTCATCCAAGGCAGGTCTTTAAATGAGGTTCTGGAAGCATAAGGACAAGTTCAGTCCCTGCTCCCCTCAACAGAGCTCTTCAGAAGGAAGGCTGGAAGCAGGCCTGCTCTGTAGCACCTGTAGTACTGGACAGGATGACATGTGAGGGAACCTTGCTTCTGGGCCTGGAGGCCTCGGTGACAGGAGGAAAAGAAATTACCAAGAAACCTAGGGTTTTGGATTTCTTAACAGTAGGAAGCAATGTAAACCACCAAGAAATGCAGCTGTAACTTGTGGCCATGAAGTGTAAAAGCTGAAAGGCCACTGATGGGCCAGGACCAAGGAGGGATTAGCTCACTAAAAGGTCTGTGCCAGGGGCATAGGGGGAGAACATGGGAAAAAGGGAAGGAAAGCAGCCCCAGAGACTTGGACAATCAGACTTTAAACATTTAGATGGAAAGGTACTTTCAAAACAATCTCAAACTAAAATTGTAGACAAGGAGAGGAGGGGTGCCGGAGAATTTAATGAACTGCCTGCATTTTACAACCAGAGTTACTGATAAATATTGAAGCCAAGAGGAATAAGTGAGAATTCTATAATTTCAACAAAAATTGAAATAATGGGAGTATGATAATGGGAAATAGAAGATAACATAACTAAAGTCCTAATATTATAATCAATATATTTAGCTTAAAATAGAAATGCAGAAAATCTTGACCTTAAAAACAAGACCTAATAATCACTTGGAAGAAAATCCTACCTAAGCCATAGAGTTGAAAATGAAACAGTAGACACCGGGCAAACATCCAAAAGAATTCCACGTGGCAGAGATGTCTGGATACTTCACAGGGGACAAAGAACAGCATGAGGTCTCTACCCTGTGCCCAAGCTACAGGTGACAAGTAGCTACTGTCTGCATCTGACACACCCGTGACCTCTTTATTTTCTGATGTTTGCTACAAAAGTGCTTCAGTCCCTATCCCATCTGGGTAAGGCAAACAGAAAGCCTGTGTGCTTACCTCGGGGCCCTGCTGCCCTAGAGCAGTGGTTCTCAACCTTCCTAATGCTGCAACCCTAAATTTAATACAGTTCCTCATGCTGTGGTAACCATAAGATTATTTTCATTGCTACTTCAGAGCTGAATTTTGAATGTGATATGAATCAGAATGTAAACATCTGTGCTTTCTGATGGTCTTAGGTGAGCCTGTGACAAGGTCTTCAAGCCCCAAAGTGGTCACAATCCACAGGCTGAGAACCACTGCCCCTTGGGGGGAGGGGTGCGGGTAGTCAACACACTTGCAATTGCTACCTAACTCCTAACCAACAGAGGGCGCACTCCTTGCTTGTTCTAGACATCTTCAGGGCCACTGGGGCCTCTGAGTGTGACTAACCTTCCATTCCCACCTGTTAGCTGAGTGTGACATTCTTAGTCAGCCACCCTGGTCCCCTTTAAAAGCCTGATGACTGAACTGAGCCCACCTGGAAAATCCAGGGCTGTCCCCGTAAAGTCAGCTGAGCAGAGTCATTAACAACTCTTGCAATGGAGCGTACTGTGGGATTCACCCCCAAATCAGGCCATTACTCTGCTCCCAGAGACCAAGTCAGATGAAATTAACCAAGGATGTTCAAGACATGACCAAACAAGGTCAACTTTCTTAGCAAGCAGGCAGAAAGTCTGTTCTAGGAAACACATGGTACAGAGGCCCATCACAGGACGGACGCAGGAGATACTCCACAACCCCACAGTTTCAGGTTCAGGCAATTGCAGATACATAATGCAGTCACTCAAGACCACTAAGGGAACCTTATGTATGAGCAGTTAACTTTTTACCAAGGGCCTCTGGGTAAGTGGGAATCTCGAGGGAAATGAAGAAAACCCTGACTGAATGATACTGCCATGTCCGAATTCATGGGACAGCTAAAGTCGTCCCTAGAAATCTACAGTCTCAACAGGCCAGGCAAGGACTGCATGGCAGAAGTCGAGGACAGAAGAAAGGGCAGTGAAGCAAAGCAAGTACTGTTAAAAGCCAAAACTGAAGACGATACCTTGAAAAGATCCACCAGATAAAGATTTTTACAAAACAGAGGAGAAAAAAAAAAAAAGGTTTAGATAAAGAGGCTGAAAAGAGAAATAACTGTAGACAGACTGGGAAAAAGAAAAAAGAAAAAAGAAAAATGGCCAAAACTGGTACCGTTGGGAGCTTTAAGTGCAGGAAGCTGATGTGACACAGTATGTGCTCATGAGTTGGGATTTGTTTATTTTTGCCACAGCAACATAGTCTTTGAACAACCCAACAGATCATGTTCATAATGCTTTAGCTTGTGAAACTTGTTCCTGTCAAGTAGCTTTTTGTGTGTCACTTATTTTCATGAATAGTGTGCATTCTACCTGTCTTGATGGCAGTAACTGTCAGCTTGGGTCAACTGTGGTCATTATTCAGCACAGGTCTTCCCCAAGTCAACTGTGTATCAGGTACCAAGGACTGGGCCTGCAACATGGTTCCCCAGTCTCCCTACCCCACTTTTGGGAAGATAACTTGTACTTGAGGTCAGTCAGTGCTGGCAGAAGATGGCATTGGGACTCCTGCCAGGCTGCCCTGATCTCACATGTGTGTCTTCTGGGACCAGACTGAGGAGGAGAAACAAACTCTCAAGTCTTGGGGAGTTGCCTAGAGTCCAGTTGGCATGGGCAATTCTTCAACTACCCTAGGCCTTTTAGTAGAAACACTGAGAAATTTAAGTAGACACCAGCAGACACCCCAGCTGCTAGAGCACTGCACTCCTGTGGGGCCCCCTGGCTTCAGTTCTCCAGGCATCCTCATACACCCTCCATAGACAGACTCTGTGCTCGGGCAGGGGGCGTGTCTCCTCCTTGCTTATCCTCAAGGATGTCAGGTGATGCTGAGTTCTCATTACCATGGTCACCTCTTCTGCACACACGGGGTGCAGAACAAGCCTGGTCTTGTGACTTCTGTGGGACTGTGCCCCTCTGTGACTCAGGTGCTGGGATGTCTCCACAGGAAGGGATGTAGAATTGAGCCCCTGAGGCATCACTATCCCTGCCTCTCCTGGCTAGAGAGGCATGACTTGGATTACCATTTGGAGAGAAGACCCAAGTCTACCTCACAAAGCACATCTGCAGCCTGGCGGGTACCAGACCTCCTAAAGCTAGAGTTCTCAAAGGCGAAGCCAGTGTGTGTGGGAGACACTCTCCCTGAAGGGCACTGCATCAGCTCCATATAAGGAACAAGAAGCCAAGCAATTTCAGCCTAGGACTGAGTGGAGCTCCCTTACTCCATGGCCTGGCCTGCATATACGTGCCCCTACCCGTGTGCTCTCCGACCCGACCCTTTTTCTGTAGTTCATGCACAGCTGACTCATCGCCACCCCAATGCCCATCACCTCTGGGATCTCCCTTGGGTCCCATCTGATCCTGCACTTTTGATACCCCTGTGTTGTCTGAGTATTTTTTCAATTATTATTATTATTATTATTATTATTATTATTATTATTATTATTATTATTATTATTATCCCTTACTCTCACAATAGCCATCATTTTTTTATGGTACTCATGGTTGACAGGCCATGTGCTGCCTCTAGGGGAAGGCTGTGTCCTCTGAGTCCTTGTCATCCCTCAGACCCTGTGTCTGGGTTCAGTGTATGGGAGTGGGATTGAATCTTAGCCCAAACTTGCTGGGTGTGAAGCGTGGCCAGGGTGCCAGGTTCGTGCTTGCTGCTACACTGTGCCATCCACAACAGAGGGCAAGGAATGCGTCCAGACAACTGAGTCACGAACTCCTGGCTACAATACAGGGCATGGACCTGAGGCACACCGGGCTTTGTCTGGCAGACAGGAGGGAATGCATCCTGCCGACGCCTGCTGCAAACCCCAGCCTCCCGGAGCAGTCACTGTACCCATGGATGGGGACTGGTTCCAGGACAGATGGCATATGCTGGACAGCCGAGACTCAGGAAGAAACTGCAGAGTAGTAGAGGAATACCTCATCTCCAGGCTTGAGTTGGCCTCTGACAAGGCCTTCTTGCCACAAACTCCAAGATCAGAGGTGGGGATAGGTACCAGAGCCCTTGGAACGAGGCCAGGGGCTACACAAAGCTGCAGGGCTACAGAAAGCTCCTAGGCAGTCTCCACCCCTGCCCTGGCCTTCTGAGTTAATCACCTAAGAGAAGGGAGGGGTGGAACTTTGGTTCTAAGGGCAGCAGTGAAGAAGCAAGATCTCCTGTATAGTGGAAGGCTGTGTGGATGGTGCCCGGCAGTCTCCATGCTGGGTGGCTTTATAGGTTGGAACCTGGCCCTTTAGAGCCTGGGCAAGAGTAGAACCCCGGATCTTCTGACTCTGGGGCTGGGTACTGGTGGGTGGGTACGGGCACTGAGGACGGAGCAGCAGAGAGAAGCCAGAGCCTCGGGAGGAACACGACATTTATTGAACTCTGAGGGGTGCAGATGAACTTTCTGGCAAGTCCTTGTTCTTAGTCATCTTGGAAGACACATGGGGGCCACAAGTGCCCCCTCCCCGAGATATCCCAGCAAAGCAAGGGTCCCACCCCACCTTCTGGCACTCTGCCTTGCTCCTTAGATAACCCCCAAGTCCCCCCTTTACAGATGCTCCCTGCAGGTTGCAAGAAAAGTACCTCTGATCCCTGCGTACAACCTAGGGTGGGGATGAGTCAGTAGACCAGGGGAGGGGGGAGGGGCTCTGAGAACAAGGGGCAGCAGGACATAGGAAGTGCTGTTAAAGCATCAAACCAACTTTTAAACAGACAGTCACATGGATATGAGGAAGAAATCTCTGAAACATCACATTTGGGAATACGTTGAGCATTAAAGTAAAGAGCTGCATGCCAGCGCGTGGAGACTACACTAATACGGAGCGCACAGGGCCTGAGTGGGCAGACTCGCACTATCGTCTGTTTGTAAAGAAAACGCTCTATTCATATCTGCAAGGAAGGACAGGCAGTCTGTACAGTGTGCCAGCTGGTGAGGCTGCAGGCTGGAGCCATCCGATGTGTGAAATGGAGGATGTTGGGTAGGTTAGAGTGCACCCATCCCGGTGACCTCAGATGTCAGCCTGGAACAGACAAAGGCATGAGGGACACATCATAGACCTCTTACGATATGGGATGGAGATGGGACAGTACGGGGAGGGCACCCGTCCATTTCCAGGTCACCATTCAGTGGCCATGAGCTGGAGGATCCACCACACGGCAGGTAGGGACCACATCTATGGGGCTTTACCTGTCCCTGTGCCTGTCACTCAATCCTTCTGAATTTGGGTCCTTCCAGGCTGGAGCATTGGGCCAGGGGCTAAGCACCCAGCCTGCCTCTGGGGGCAGGGTCTGGACTTTTAAGCAGGGGCTTCATGGCTGTGACAAAAGGAGCTGTGACATGGGTGGAAACCCTGAGCAGTTTGAGGAGTGTAGCAATAGTAGATTTGGGGCAGGCAAGGCGGGCATTTCCCTGGGTCCTACTCCAGACTTACTGCAAGTCTTCCAATGCCCCTTGCCTGAGGCAGATGGGGACAGCCTGGTTACTGGCTGGGAGGAGGGAAACAGGAAAATAGGGGTGTCCTAGCTCCTTGTTGGTGAATGGAGTGGCCCTTGTCTGTGGAGGCTGACTCCATCATCTCTACCTGCATGCCTGGACTTTTACTGTATCAGTAAGGGTGTGGGTCTGTCGGCCATAGTTAGCGACGACCTGTGGAGGACCCAGGCGCCTAAGGATCACTCACCTAGCATTGATGAGATACTGGGCAAGGCTGATATTGGCTGGGGTCCCGGTGATGGTAATCTGACGCTCTGACGACCCTTCAGTGGCATTGGCGATTTTGATCTGAGCCCCAGACATCTGTCGGATTTCATTGATTTTGGTGCCCTGGCGTCCAATTATGCAGCCTATAAGCTAGAAGAAATGATGGAGGAATCTCTTAGAGGAGAGCCCAGGATATCTCTTTCATGGCATCTGTAAGAGCCCAGCAGAGGCTCCAACTCTGCCTATGAACTCAGTGCTGTGGAAGAAAAAGGCACTGCAAAGTCTAAAGCCTGGTCCCTAGGACAGTATGAGAGAGGGCCCAGCTCTGCCTGTTGACAGTCTTATCGCCTCCGCTTAGTGTCCCTCTGGAAATTCCACACAACAAGACATGACCACCACCTTACTGGCTTCCTCTACCTGGTCAGAAGTGACCAAAGGACCAATGATGCAGACTGAGCAGGGAATCCCACGCCAGCTCTGACCTAGGCTGGGTCAGGGTCTTCTGGAGGTACCCTCACAGGGAGAATGGATCCATAGGAAGATGAGCATTACAGATACTAAGGAGCACCTCAAGTTCATTGTTGCTGAAACCTATTTTTTGATGATCTCAGAAGAAGTTGAGGACAAATCCGATGTTCGCTTGGTGAACTGTTAAGTGGATGCAGAGACCTGTGGCCAAGGTAGTCACTAGGAGTGAGGACCAGCTCTGAGGCAGCTCAGGGACAAGTGTGCTCTCTATCCTGGTAGTCAAAATCTAATAGCTACACTTGGGTATGTGCCTCTCAGTCTACCCTGTTCCATGGCAGGAGCGGCCTGGACCCCAGAATAGCCTGTAGAGGAGCCGGATGACATTCCTCAACTTCTGACGCCGATTAAACAGAATTCCCATTTCCACACACTGGTACTACATGCTCCAGAGTAAAGAAAGGAACACTGGTCAGACAGGCACTGAGAGCCTGGGCTTCAGCCGGCATTCGCCACAGGTCCCCGTGGTCCTGTTGGACCTGGCTGTCTGGGCACTGGCCTGAGGACTAGAAACAAGCTGTTGTTGTGCAGTGAGTTGTCAGGCAGAAGGCTGGGCTGGACCTGAGAGGCACCAGGAGGAGAATCTACTTCTGGCCCTGCACAGTGGGCAACAGTGCACCTGTGTGAGATAGCTCTTATCCTGGAGAGGCCAAAGAGTATGTGTTTTGCTCACTGTTAAGGCAGTCTGCTGGCATCTGTATCACTCACTGAGCTGTGACAATTTATCTTTAGGAACACAGTGAAAGCCCTGCTCCGGAGAAACCTGAGCTGTTTAGCATCTTGTGTGTCTGGGCCTCACCCAATCCTCATTTCTCAAGTCCCTCCCACTACCTCTCTCTCTGGGCTCTGCCCATGGTCTGCTCTGTGACAGGGAAGAGAGCTTCCTAACCCGCACACGGCCATGGCTCAACCTGCCCACCTGAGTGCTCTCTCGCCTGGCAGGGAAGCTATAGGGCTCTTCTGTGACCAAGGCTAAGGCAAGCGAGATAGCCCACAGACAGGAGCATGGCTCCTGCGCTGACTGAGAATGTGTGGCCGCGTGTCTCTAATTCAGGAGGGTGGGTCATGAGGATGTGGCCTTCTCCCACCTCTTTCCCTCTTTGCACCCTAATCCCCGGCTGCTCCATGATCAGCTCTCCTCTCTGGTGTCACACTCAGGTGTGGATGGCACTTGCCAACCTCACAGCACAGACCCCACGACACTGCTGTCTTCATTCCAGCAGGCGCTGGAGGAAGCTGACCATCATAGCACCAAATCATCGCCCCTTTCCCTTTCCTGTCAGGACTCGAACTCTCTTCTCTATACCTGGGGTGTGTTTCTTGTGTGGTCCACCCTCCTGGACTCATACCTCAAAATCCTGAGGTGTTCTGTGGCCTGTGCCCTAAGCCTCTCTCCTTCCTTCACACTCGGGGTGGGGGTTCAGGTTAGAAGAGCAGTTGGCTCTAGCTTCCTTTCCCAGCAAGACTCCTGGCAACTGTGCCACTCACCAGCGAAAGGCCTGAGCTTTTTTACAGGTAGGTGCTCAGAGCAAGGCATCGGGGCCTTAAGTGCCCCAAGCTGAACACCTCAGGGCAAGCTCTACAGCAGGGGCCATTAGGAATGAACAGATCTGGGCCTGGTAGTGTGCAGGTGGGGAAAGCCTGCTGCCTGGGCCTCGCACACCTGAGAGGACACATACATCACCATCAGTGTTTTTCTGTAGATGAGGTGAGGACACAGGTGGATACTGGCCTGACTCAACTGTGACCAGGGGTCAGAATAGTCATGTACTGTATCTTTCCTCTGGTCTAAGTGTGTGGTAGGCTTCTGGTGTGGACCATTGGCTCTGAGAGACTGCATCTTTGCCTATAGCCTAGAACCATCTATAAAGGTCTGGGTGAGGGCTGGAGAGATGGCTCAGAGGTTAAGAGTACTGACTGCTCTTCCATAGGTCCCGAGTTCAATTCCCAGCAACCACATGGTGGCTCACAACCACCCGTTATACCTGGTGCGCAGATTACATGGAAGCAGAATGTTGTATACATAAAAAAAATCTTAAAAAAAAAGGTCTGGGTGAGTGGGAACCATCTATGCCATAGCTCCTATGGCTTTCCTGTGCAGGGTCAGAGGTAGGCTCTGAGTGTTTGGTGACAGAGCAGCTCCCCTCTCTACAAAGATGTCTGGGATGACAGGATAGGCTGGGTCAGCCAGTGCTCACTCACCATGTGGCAGCAGAGCTAACACTGCACTGCTGTCCACCAGGCCCAGCATGGGTGTCTTGAGTCCATTTCCAGTTAAATAAAAGCTTGTGCTACAGTGCTGGTGAAATGGGATTCATGCTAGCAGCCTTCAAGCAGCCCCATCTAATGGAGCTAGAGGGACCATTGCACAAGGAGAGGGACCTTCTCCATCTACACAGCAGGAGGCAGGTGACATGACACGCTCACCCACGAAGGCAGCTTGGCAAGTTGGTCCAACCTCCAGTGTTCTGGAAGCTCAAGGCTGCACAATGACGCCACCATGGTGTCTGGGCTGACTCCTACAGACTGAGGAGAGCAGAGCTTGTCGGGTGGCAGGAAAGATGCCCAGGGCTGGTGGCAGGGCCATCTTCAGCCAGATGGGCTCAGGGTCTCTCTCCTGGCCAGTTTACTATGCTGCCCAACTGTTTGCCAAGCTCAAGCTTTGGGGGGTCCCCTCAAACTCCGGGTTTCCTGCAGTTGGCTCACATGGGGTGAGTCAGGTCTTGGGTTTCCTGCCTCGCTGGTACAAGGAGAGGACTGTGAAAGGTCTCAAAGTCCAATTCTACTGGTCTGAAGAGAGAGAAATGTAAAGTGCTTGCCACACAAGATGACCTTAGTTTGACCTCTGGTGTCCAGGTGTGGTGGCACATGCTTGTAATCTCAGCATTGAAAATGTAGAGGCAGGTGGATACCTGGGGCTCCAGGGCCAGCCAGCCTAGTCTAATTGGTGAGCCCTAGATCCTAGTGAGAGACTGTCTCAAAAACAAAAAACCCAAACCAAAAGAGGAAAAAAAAACAAACAAAACAAAACAAAACCCCCAAAGTAGATGGATCCTGAGGAATGACACCTAAGATTAACCTCTGACCTTCATATGAAAACAGAGATGCACACACACATGCGCGCGCATGCACACAGACACAGGCAGAATGAGTCTGACTAGCTTTAGGACAGAGAAAGCCTGACTACTGTACAAGTTGGAAAGGGGGCAGTCTCTGCATGGCCTACACAGAGACTGCCCCTTCTGCTATCCTGGCAGCTGCTCTCAAAGACATGGACCTCTCTGGTCTCACTGTTTGGGGGTGATTCATTGATTCAGAGACTGCCCCCACTTCTCCAGGCCCCTGTTCCGCATGGAGGGTATGAAGTGCGCAGACAGTAGGCCTGAGACCACGGCTTGTGTTCCCTAAGGCGTGGGCAATTGAGGGTACCAGAGTAAGGAATGTGGAAAACCTGGGACATCCAACCAACTTCATGTCACAGAGAACTCGAACCTCCAGTGTGGGTCCTATCACTCCAGAACCTTTCTGGACCACCCTATTCTCAAGGTCCCTAAGCCAGGATGCTGCTGCGGTTGCCACAGACTCTTGCCCAGCCCTGGCAGTGACTTCCGTTTCACCCTGATGTCCCCAGTGCTCCTTTCTTGGCTGCATCTTTTGTGGATATTCTGTCAGTATGAGGTGGAAAGGAGGGAGGAACAGATTCAACTGTGGGTCCAGGGCTGAGGGTATCATTGGGACAGGTTTGGTGAGGACAGGAGGGTACAGGGGGATACTCACATCATTGGGAATGGTGAGCTCATGAGTGCTGGCCGGGGGGCTGGCATCCAGACCTGGGCACACCAAGGGAACATGGTTAGACTGGAGGGAAACAGGTCATTGCCATACTCAGACCTGGTCCATATTTCCCTGGGCTGGCTGAGGTGAAGGCCAGAACCACCCAGGGACCCAGGCCCAGGTGGAACCCAACCTCCTGAGTTCCAACTGTTCTCAGAAAGAAAAAAGAGACCCCACACCTTGTATACACAGCCTGGTAGGCCCTGAGCTAAAAAAGAGGGCAGCCATCACACTTCAGGCCTTCATATGGCAGCTGAGGCACAGGACACGGGTCACATTGACATAATGCTTGTTTTCTCTGTGTTCAGGGATTCTTGTGGGTGCTGTACCCCACTCTGCTCCACCCCGAGACCTCATGTGGTTCTGCTGCAGGTGGCCCGAAGTGGCAAAAACGTCATTGTTAATTCTGTTCGACACGGTTCTCTGCAAAGGCCACTGTGCATGGCTAAGCTCAGGTTTTCACCTTTGCAAGTCTCGCTACATCTCCAGATAACAGGCAGCTTCTCAGAGTCGACGTGCTCATCTCTCCTGCCTCAGAAGCACTGACAATACACTCAAGGGACTGTCACAGTGGAAGGTGCGATGGCCATACCTCTGTGCACAGCCACCCCACTTCAACAACAGACAGCCCAGGTCTGCACGTTCTAGAGCTGATCTCTCGCCTCCAGGCCCAGCAACGGTCCCCCCTGCATGGGACTGCTGGGTCCAGACCCCAGATTCTATCCTTTCAGATGGCCAGTTCTACCCACATACCTTCACAACACCCCAGAACCCAGGTCATCTCCTCCTCCTGCGCGCTTACTGTTCTTCCTCTGCCCTAACCCTTCAGCACCACGAAACCCAGGATCCCCCCAAACAGCCTCAATGAGCCCCTGCTTTTCACAGTGCCCCTCGTCCTCGCTCTACTCCCTCCTCATCTTGTCTCACACAGTTGGTGGCTCCTGCCAGAGTGTGACCCCAAAGGCAGGCGCCCAGTGGTCAGGCCAAGGTGGAGGTGCTCTATAAACCAATTCACCCCAGCTCTGCTGTTTCGTGTACACACTGACATCTGGAGTTTCTATCTCCCATCTGTGTTCTAATCATAGTTTTTTAACACAATTATTTGGCTATTGAGGAATCTATACACATTGCCCGAAGCAGAGACATGTAAAATGTCACTTGAAAGGCTTCCCTAGTACCATTGGAAGGCTGGGTAGGAGTTCCTGGGGCAGCAGGGTATATCTGTCCAATCTGACACTTGGCTGAGTGAAGAGCGAGGATTCTTTTTCAGGGACACCAAAGTCAAGTGGGTGGATAAGGGATGTCCACTTAAAGCCAACACTCGGGACAAGGCTTCCGAGTCAGCTGCATTTCGCCATGCACACACTTTTCCCCTTGCTGCCACGCGAGTGCACAAAAATGCACATGGACTCGGGTTGCAGGTCTCCAGGGCTTGGTCAAGTTGTCACACAAAAGCCTGGTGGCAGCCGGGAGGCTGCAGTGTTGGCTGTGTGTACTCACAGTATTTCCCTCACAGGACCCAGACAACACGCGGCCCCAGCCTATCACCTTTTCCCAGTCACTGCATCAGTGTCCACACCACCCTATAGTGTCTTGGGAGCAGGGATTTCAATGAAAACCAGAAGAAAGTGTAGACATATCCAGCCCAGATCTATCTTCTAAGTCTATTCCTAGCTCCAGGGAAACCCATCTTTAAAAGGCACATACCATCCCATGCCCCCCAGTCATGCTCTCACTATACACCCCTACGCACTGCACAGCCAGAGAACGAGTGGCATCTTGGTATCTCGAGATAGGTCCTCCTCATGTAGGTGCATACCGCCTTAGGCCACCCAACTGTTCACAGGGTGGCTGCACTGTGCACGCTCAGACCACCATTCACCAACAATGGAATAGCTCCATCACCACCTGGCCCCTGAGTGGTCCCCATGGCTCAGTCCATAGCCTGTGCCCCTGGAAACTGTCTACTGCCAGCCGACTTGGGTGGGTGCTAGACACTCAGATGTCACAGGTGTGGGTGCCCTCGTCCTCTGTACGTGTCCCCTGGCCTGCTCGCCCAGCACTGTGGTCTGTTTTACCTGACGACTGGCCCATCAGATTTTGAGCTTCTTCGGAGGAGTGTAAAGGCAGCTTTTCTCCTGGAGAGCAAAGAAGAGAGAGGTTTAATGGTTTGCCCTCAAGGAGAGAAGCAAGGTCCCTTCAACTAGGAAAGCTCAAAATATGATTGGTGCATGCGCAGCTGACGTGCACGGCCAGCGTGTTTTCACTGGCCATAGCCACCGGGCGGCTCTGCTTCTGTGAGAGGGACACCCTGATGCAGATGCCCCGGCAGGCTGTGGCCAGCCCCCCTGATTGCCTCACCATAGGCCTGAGTGCAGGCTAGCTTCGGTCATGGCTATCCTAGGCAGGGCTGCACCAACTAAGGCTGAGGTCCCTCCTGCGGTCAGAACATTGATCTGGGAAAAGATATATACTCCAGGGGGGGCGGGTAGAAGCCTTTGTAGGAAAAGCCACCTGGGGATGGACTGTGGGTGACACAGAGCACTGCTATGCACATAAGACCCTCAAAAGGCAAGAACACAGAAGCCGGGGAGCAGTGAGGTCGCCCACAATGGGAGGCAGACCGACCCGCCCCGCCTCAGCTGTGTGCAGCCCACTTTGCTAATGCTGCAAGATTCAGCATTCAGAGCCTGGCCAGCGCCTGTGCTCCTCACTGCACTGAATAGAGCTCAGAAAGAGAAAGCGAGTCCCCAGGTGAGAAGAGAAGGTCAGAAAAGGGCAGCTGGGTACGTACCGGGGAAAGCGGGGTTGGTCTGTCCGAGGGGAGGAAAGGGGGTTTGCTGCATGGCCAGCTGGTGGAGCTTGGTCAACTGCTGGGGGTAGGAGGGACACGAGAGCTAAGAAGGTTATTGTCATCGAGTACAAGTCACACCAAGTTACAAACGGCAGTAACAGAACTTTGCACAGAGAGGTTCAGAGGGGCCATGCGGACACATGGCAGACACTGCAGCAGGACGCAAGGACTTGGCCTGGGTGGAACCAATGGGCCTGGCTGCCAGCAGCCAAGAGCCTGAATGAGCTGTGCCTATCCCTTGCCAGGCTAGCGAGGACAGGAGGCGCCAGTGGTCCTTGGGGCTCTGAGATGAGGGTCTGAGGGACACAGAGCAGGGCCAGCTGGACTCCTAAGAAACTAGCAAACTCCATCTAGCAGATCATCAAACCCTGCTGTGGTTCCAGTCTCATGCGAGGCTTCACTCACCTCCTGGCTTGCAGGCCTCATTAAATCACAAGCAGTC